GGTTCAGAACAGACTGTTGTCTACATTATGAAGTTGAAGTCTTGTCTGTTGATCATCATTAATGATTGCAGGACAGCCTTATCAAGGAACTGTTGTTCTGAGCTCCTCAGATGTGTCCTGTAAACATTCAGCTACTCAACCCTTTGCTCTTTGAAGCAGTTGTGCCAGTTTATCAGACACTGGCCAGCAGATGCCACATTCCACCGGCAGCAGAAGCGCTCTGTGCATCTGTCGGGCTGTAATGGGTAACAGCCATCTGCAGGAATGAGATGTGCGCTAGCAGGGGATTTAGTGAGTCTTTGGGAGTGTAACGTGGAACGGTGCAAAGTGGGGGAGGTAGCCGAGACGGCTGCGTGGAGGACTAGCACGTATTCCTAGCTCATTGGTCACAGCCTGTAGGCAGTCGGTGTTAACAGTGGACCGAGGTCAGTATATCAGCGGGCTTGTCTGCCTTGTGTGTGGCAGGATTTGTCTTGGAGCTGAGAGGGTCCCACATCAGGGCCCAGACTTTCTCTCAGTGTACCTGGGCCCATCCGTGTCTGACACCTGGGAACTATTCATTGGACACTGAACAAATAAATAAGTCTCACTATGATAATGAGCAAGATTTTCAATTATTTTGAGCCTTAGTTTCTGCAGCCGTAGACCAGTGGTGGGAGGGGGAATGGTAAGAGACTAAGGTTGGTTTGAGGGATCCCCTCTCAGCATGTAAGAGTGTGTGAAGATCAGTCAGGGAACAGGCTGAGAGAGAGATGCCGTGGGCAATTCAGGAAGCGGGGCAGCCCTTTGTATCCAATTGGAAGCACCCCTGGGGGTGCCTGTCTTCTGCCTCCTGTGGTGAGTCCTGTCAGGATCGTAGGTGCTGCTCGGTCACTGTGGCTCTGTGTCAGGGAGGATAGAAGGGAGAGTCTCCTGTCTCAGAGCTTTTGAGAGGTAGGCTTGTGTGTCTCTCTAGAGCACCTCTTGCACTGAATTGTATTTGCCCTTGAGAAAGAAAGGAAGACGCTATGGAGCAGGGCTGGGAAGAGCCGCCTGCTGTAGGTGGCTTTGAGCATCTGGATAAACTCTGCATTGGTGGACAGGGGGACCAGAGCAGTGATGTTGACTCGTCCTCTCTACCCGGTGGGCCGTCACTCCTGTAATCTTCCTGTTCACCCAGGTATCCGTCAGCTTCAACTAATACTTTTGAAAGTAGCATTGATCCTAGGCATTGAAATCCATGTCAATGTGGAATTCCAAGGACTTGTGGAGCCTCCTGAGGACCAAGAAAATGAACGTGAGTGAACAAATGAAGGAGGGATAAAAGGGCCTTGAAGAGGTGAGGAAAGATGAGATCCAGGGAAAAGAGAGGAATCTGAGGGTTGTTTTCAGAGCTAGTTAAAGGGGTGTCTCCATTTGCACAGCCTGTGTCTTTGGAGGAACTTTTGACTTATGAGGAGGCCTCTGACAGAGTATTAGACATTACAGGGGCTTGGATTCATTATAGGAAGTCGTGTGGTGGGGACGTTCCTTTGTGACCCTTCCTCGAGGCTTCTTTCTCTCTTTGGTTTGTACCCCATGCTTTTATGCCTGGTGTGTTTTTGGCGTGGGGTTTTGTGCAGTCTGCACACCTGGGTACCTAGAGATGTCTTAGATATATGAATGGGTCTGGGTGATAACCTTCATTTTGACTTTCGTCCGCAGGGATAGGTTGGCGGGCCCTGGTGCACCCCAAAACCCATCCTGTATCAGAATATGAGTTTGAAGTGATCATTGGAGGCGATGGCCGCAGGAACACCTTGGAAGGTACGGGTAGTGCTCCTGTCCCCTTCACCTGCTTCATGTGGAGGAACCCTGCCAAGAGCTTGTGTCTTCAGAGGTCCCACTCCTCAGAATCCTCACGCGTGCGCTGCCTAGGCTGGGTGAACGGCGGGCCCCACCTTCGCCCTGCCAGCTGGTACTGGGCCACTTCTCCAGGGCACAGGGAGACAAGCCACCCGTGAGCAGGGAACATTGCAGGATTAAACCGAAGTTATTAAAGCAGACGGCATCCCTTTTTATGAAATGGAACCCCTTGTACTGAGTACTGTTCTGGTCCGTCAGATTTTCAGCGGTGTGTTAGTTGTGGGTGACTGGCGTCTTTCCTGGATTGTTACAGTCTTTGGGAGGTAAACACCTAATTTCCAGATAGAGGAGAGCTGCCCTAAAACCTTCCCATTGATTCCCATCCCCCACTTTCCCTCATGTCTTCCTCAGCGCCCCTCCTGTGTGACGTGATCTTCCTTCTTTAGCCAGCTTTTGCCACCTCTGAAAATTTCTTTCCTTCCAGGATTTCGTCGGAAAGAATTTCGTGGCAAACTGGCCATTGCCATTACAGCAAATTTTATTAACCGAAATACAACAGCAGAAGCCAAAGTGGAAGAGATCAGTGGTGTGGCTTTTATATTCAACCAAAAATTTTTCCAGGAACTGAGGGAAGCCACAGGTTGGTGTCAATGCCTCCACAGCAAAAAGGGTAGAAATTTAAATACCGCTTGTGGTCTTTCTCTGGAGGGTTTGGTCGGGGCTCATCAGTGCTGCTGCTGTGTTGTTTGCCCGTCTGCTCCTTCACTCCCGTGCTTCGCTCTGAGCGTTATGCTTTCTGTGTCTCCGTCTCCTACTCTGGTGTCCTTTGTCCTCATTGCAGGGATGGGCTGCTCCTCCAGCCCTTTCCCCTGCCTGGCTCTGCATGGTGGTGCCTGACGCGTCGGCTCTTGGAGGGGAGCTCTGGTTTGTTGAGAACCTGACTCTAGGTGTTGAGTGTGTCTTCTTTTTCCTGAGTTTGTTTGGCTTTGAAGTAAACCATGTGCTAGATAGAAATGAGGTTGTTGTATGATAGCTTGTGAATAGATGGATTCACTTAGACATTTTGCTGCAACAAAAATGTGTGGCAAATTCCACTTACCTATTTTCTGGAAGAACATGGTTTCTTCCCACTGCATCTGCTTTTCAGGTTAATCAAATTAAAGAGCCAGTAGTGCACTCTGTACTTCCAGGCATCCAGTTGTCTGTCCTGCCCCTGAGAGTCCAGGAGATTTCCCCGTTGCCTTGACGAGCATCAAAGAGGTTTAACCTGAGAACTGACTCGAACCCTCTTACTAGAGGTTAACCTCTCCTTTCTTCCCATCCTTGTGTTTCTGCTTCTGATTGATTGCTATTGCCAGGATAACAGGGTGTCAGGTGAATGCAGAGCAGTGTGAGGATAACCAGAGCTCCCCGGCTTTTCGTGAACAAATGTGCAGGAGGTGAGGATCAGGCTCAGGTGCCTTTTTCATTTTCTCGTTCCCTGTCTGGAGTTCCACAACCCTGGCCTCTGGGGGCCAGTACAGTCTCTCTGGCTGCCCTAACCCACCTTCATTTCAGCAGACCCTTATGTGCACGTTTGTTCTCTGTTGCAGGGATCGATTTGGAGAACATCGTCTACTACAAAGATGACACACACTATTTTGTTATGACAGCCAAAAAGCAGAGTTTACTGGACAAAGGGGTGATACTGCACGTGAGTCACGGATTTCTTTTAAACCTTTTTTATGTTGTACTGGGTCATGTGATTACCAAAAGAAAGAATTTTATTGTTTGATGAGTTTTTTCCTGCAAGGGGATGAAAATGAGTGCCTCACTCATCTCCTGGGACCATGTACTTTGTACTCCTCTGATGTTTTTTAGTTTAACTTTAAAAAAAAATGTTTTTTTATGGAAAATTTCAAGCACAAACAAAAGTGGAGATACTTGTGTAATGAACCCTGACGTGCCTGTTATCCAGCATTAGCAGTTGTCAGCACGTGGCCAGCACTGTCCCAGGAGTACCCCAGCCCACTCCCCACTCCCACTTTGGGCTGTGCAAAGCAAATCTCAGATAGCATTTCATGCATAAATATTCATTTTAATTTCAGGTGATTCTGTTTGTGGTTATGATGAGTTCCATATATGACCGATTATTGGTTGGTTAGTAGGTCATCTTTTGGGAGGGGGTTATAGAGGGAAGGGAGTTAGACCAAGAAGCAAAAGCTGGTGTTTCTGGGAGCCTGAGAACGGTTCTGGCTTTACTGCAGGTATGGTTACAGTGCCTGGATCAGGCTATATTTGGACCTCTTTATGGTCTGACAATGAGGGCTCTTGTTCACCCAGAGCCAAGGCCAGCTAAGCCTTTTTTCCAGATGACTAATTGTATGAGATTCCCTGGGATGATGACAGAATGTGGACGCAGAGAACCACAGGTGGATGGCTCCTTAAGGAGAGTTTCTTAAGTCTTACTTGGTCTTGTTGGTCTGGATTTGAGAATTAACTGTCCCTGTGTGATGAGTGGAGAGAAGAGGCACCAGATGCGGTGATTCAGGCCTGTGCAGTTCCCAGCACAGACTGGCGGCTGAATTTCAGGATGTCCTTTGTCTTTGCAGGATGATGTTGAGTCAGGTGACTTCAGTCTGAGTTACGGTGCTGCCTTGTCTGCAGGCGGTGCTGGGGAGCTGGGAGCTCGTGGGCCTCGTGTCTGTGTCTCAGCCCCGTGGCACCTTATGCGTGTGAGGAGAACAGGACAGAGCAGCGGGCACAGCCCATTCTGCCAAAAGCACGAGCAAGATATATTTAGTTGGATGCTCTGTCAGTAAGAAATAGCCGGTGAACCCATTGGTACGCCTTGGGACTAAGCTAAGACTTAGAGCCCATGGTGGCCACTTACTAAGTGTTGAACAAACAGTTTCCGGGACCAACCTGAGTATTTGTGTTTGGCTTTTACATCTTGTAGTGCCGGCAGGAAGTACCATCAGGGGCACTTGGAAAGCTTAGGTCCCACTTGAGAAGAAAGCCTTGGCTCAGTGTGCCAGAGCCTCCAAAACAGAAAGGGAGTTTCTCGATCCTTTCTGTGGAAGGCCCTTTTTCCCTCATCATTGTTTTTCTTTGCTGGTGGATTACTATGGGGCATTTCAGAATCTTGTGTATTGTTTTGAAGACTTCTGTTCCACTTTCAGTGTATTTCCTCCCAGCCCCCAGGACTCCTATTGCCCCCACCTCCTCATCCCTCTGGCACTGAAGCTTTCAGGTTCTTCCTTTGGGTTCGATGAGCTATGCAAGGTTGAGTGTCCCTTGTAGGTCCAGCTGCTGCCCAGAAGACGGTGATTGCTGATAGCAGCCTGAACTATGAATGCTTTTCAGTTTACAGAGCACCATCACATTAAATCATTGTATTTGGTATTCAGAGCAACTCCGTGAGGTGGAGTGGACCAGACTGAAGAAGCAGTGACTTGTTCCAAGTAAATGGAAAAGCGGGCGCTCTGTTTCTAGGTGGCAAAACCTGTGTTCCTTTAGAAACAGCCTCCCCCCTTTTCTTTTGAATTTGCATAGAAGACTGCTTTTGGAACGGTGGGGGGGGGGGAAGGCTGTGGAACTAGGTTCCGTCTGGCACTCGCAGCATGGCTGTGGCCGGCGGGCTCTGGCGCCCCTGCCTGGGCGTTTCCATCAAGTCTCTTTCTTCTCCCTCTGGAGATAGGACCATGCCGACACGGAGCTCCTGCTGTCCCGGGAGAACGTGGACCAGGAGGCCCTGCTGAGCTATGCCCGGGAGGCGGCCGACTTCTCCACCCAGCAGCAACTGCCCTCCCTGGACTTCGCCATCAACCACTACGGGCAGCCCGACGTGGCCATGTTCGACTTCACGTGCATGTACGCCTCCGAGAACGCGGCCCTGGTGCGGGAGCACAGTGGCCACCAGCTGTTGGTGGCCCTGGTGGGGGACAGCCTTCTGGAGGTGAGTGCTGAGCAGCGGGAGGTGGCAGTTCGGGTTGGAGGCCTGGCGAGGGGGCATCGCACTGAGGGGCAGCTCTGGGGTCCCAGCTGGGGAGCGAGTGTCTGCGCTGCCACATGGTCTGAGGTACAGGGGAGGGCCCCAGGCCACGGGGAGCCCAGGAACTGCCACTGGGGGTGGCAGTTCCGAAGGCTTTGTGACTTGCCCGTCTGCAGGTTGTGAAGTAGGGAAGGGAAGGGCAGGGTACAGCTGCTCTTCAACAGCAAACTCTTTCTCTCCTCCTTAGTTTAGTTTCCCTCTTTTGAAAGGTAATTCAGGTTAATTCTTTGTTTTCTGTTTCTGTAGCCTTTTTGGCCAATGGGAACAGGAATAGCCCGGGGCTTTCTAGCTGCTATGGACTCGGCCTGGATGGTGCGCAGTTGGTCTCTGGGAAGGAGCCCCTTGGAAGTCCTGGCAGAGAGGTAACTGGAGGGGCGTCCTTCCGCGATGACACAGGAGGGTCAGTGGTTTGCTCCTCAGGCAGAGTTCAGGTTTCTCTTTCCTTCGTCATTAACGATGTTTTTATATTTAGGAGAAGAGGGAAAGCAAGGTAGGTATTCATCAAATCAGAACCCTAACGATTATCTAAGCTAAGTGCCGTTCTCTTATCCCTTTCGAATCAGATTTGTTACTGATGAATGGTATCTGAATCTTTGTGTAACATTGAAGGATGCTCTCTGATTCCTTTGTGACAGCTACATGAACAAATATTCGATTGGCCAAAAGGTTCATTCTTTTTTTTCCCTAAGATGGCTCTAGTAGCACTTAGTTGTCTTTAATTTCATTCGAAACAATTTTGTTAGATTGTATGTGACAGCTGTCATATCAGCCTGCATTTAAAAAAAGACTTATTGGGACTTCCCTGGTGGCGCAGTGGTTAAGAATCCGCCTGCCAATGCAGGGGACATGGGTTCTAGCCCTGTTCCGGGAAGATCCCACGTGCCGCGGAGCAACTAGGCCCGTGCGCCACAACTACTGACCCTGCGCTCTAGAGCCCTCGAGCCACAACTACTGAGCCCACGTGCCACAACTACTGAAGCCTGTGTGCCTAGAGCCCGTGCTCCACAACAAGAGAAGCCACCACAATGAGAAGCCCAGGCACTGCAACAGAGAGTAGCCCCCGCTCGCCAGAACTAGAGAAAGCCTGTGCGCAGTAACGAAGACCCAGCGCAGCCAAAAATAAATAAGAAAATAAAATAAAATTTTTAAATTAAAAAAATAAGACATCAAAATTGGTGAATTTTTGTGTAGCCATTTTAATATTGAAGGTGGAAGAAAGAAGTAACATTTTCAGCATATTATGCTTTATCATTTCTAGAAAGGTGAAAACACAACTGAAGCACAAAAAAAGATTTGTGCAGTGTCTGGAGAAGGTGCTGTGACTGATCGGACATGTCAAAGGTGGTTTGCAAAGTTTTGTGCTGGAGATTTCTCACTGGACGATGCTCCACGATTGGGTAGACAAGTTGAAGTTGATAGTGATCAAATCGAGACATTAATTGAGAACAATCAATGTTACACCACGCGGGAGATAGCCGACATACTCAAAATATCCAAATCAAGGGCTGAAAATCATTTGCTCCAGCTTGGTTATGTTAATCGTTTTGATGTTTGGGTTCCACATAAGTTAAGCGAAAAAAACCTTCTTGACCATATTTCCGCATGTGTTTCTCTACTTAAACGTAGCAAAAAACTCCGTTTTTAAAACAAATTGTGACGGGCGATGAGAAGTGGTTACTGTCCAATAATGTGGAACGGAAGAGATGGTGGGGCAAAGCGAAAAGAACCACCACCAGCCACACCAAAGGCCGGTGCTCATCCAAAGAAGGTGATGTTGTGTATATGGTGGCATTGGAAGGGAGTCCTCTACCATGAGCTCCTTCTAGAAAACCAAACGATTAATTCCAACAAGTACTGCTCCCAGTTAGACCAACTGAAAGTGGCACTCGACGAAAAGCATCTGGAATTATTCAACAGAAAACGCATAATCTTCCATCAGGATAACGCAAGACCACGTGTTTCTTTGATGACCAGGCAAAAACTGTTACAGCTTAGCTGGGAAGTCCTGATTCATCTGCTGTATTCACTAGACATTGCACCTTTGGATTTACATTTATTTCGGTCTTTACAAAATTCTTTTAATGGAAAAAATTTTGGTTCCCTGGAAGACTGTAAAAGGCACCTGGAACAGTTCTTTGCTCAAAAAGATAAAACGTTTTGGGAAGATGGAATTATGAAGTTGTCTGAAAAATGGCAGAAGGTAGTGGAACAAAAGGATAAATACATTGTTCAATAAATTTCTTGGTGAAAATGAAAAATGTGTCTTTAGTTTTTACTTAAAAACTGAAGGCACTTTTTGGCCAACCCAATACATGAAAACAGTGCATTTAATCTTCCTGTCCTTAAACTAGAGAGACTTGTACTAATGAAATCAGTGTGGTAGCAGGGGATGTACTAACATAGGAGAAGAAATTAAAAGTGACTGAATCCAAAGGAGAACAACAAAGTGCTTGTGAGCATTGACTCTCGACTGTCAGACATTGTGAATCAGGTAATTGCAGATGAGGTAAGGTCTCGGATTCGCTTGCTAATAAAGAGCAAGTGCCTTGACCAGAACTAGAGAAAGAGGATTTGCTGGATGAAATTAGTGGTCGATACCATTTTTAAGTCTGTTACCTAAGGTACTCTGGGTAAATTTGGTGGCAAGTTTTTTCATCAGTGATTTTCTTAAAAATTAAACATTGGCCTACTTGCTAAAACAGCGCAGCAGTAAAGTAGAGTGAGACTTAGCTCCCTGCCCACAGCAGTGGACTTGCCCTTCTCCTTGGCCCCTAACAGTCTGGTGCCTGTGGGATCATTGAGATGGTGGGGATGGGAAGCCAAGGCTGATGTGGGGTTGGAGGCAACCTGTCAAGAAGGAGGGTTTGTCCCACCCTGGACTGTCAGAAAATAGAAATATTATCAAAGGAGAGGGAGGAGCTTTTGGTGCTGTCACTGCTTTGTTCATTGTTGCAGGGAAAGCATTTATAGGTTGCTGCCTCAGACCACCCCCGAGAATGTGAGCAAGAACTTCAGCCAGTACAGCATAGACCCCGTCACCAGATACCCCAACATGAACGTCAACTTCCTCCGGCCAAGCCAGGTAAGCGCCCCTAGCCCGTCATACGTGTCCCGGCCACGGTCAGGACCAGTCAGACTCTGAATACAGGCGCACACAACATTCCTTCACAATCAATGCAGACATCTTCCTGAGTTGGCTGAGGGAGGCATCTGCCATCAGCAGACTGACCAGCTAGGGCAGCGGGTTGTCTGGTGACCGGAGGGTTCTGTCCCATCTCCTGGTTCCCGTGGACAGTGCAGGAGCTCAGCCCTCGTTCTCTAGTCAGGACGTGCAGCAAGCACCTGCGTCACTGCCACCAGTCACCGTGACCCGGGGGCCGCCGCTCACCTTCCCTGAACTTGTTTCCCCATCTGTACCATGGAGGTCACCATCCCTGCTGCTCCCAGGATCGTTGTGCAGGCAGACAGCACTGGTCACTTGAGAGAACGTGGAAAGATAAGACCCTCTGCAAGTAAAAGATACTGCCGGCCAACTCAGAATGTCTAAAGCCTTGTTACTGCACTGAGAGTGACATTTTACAAAGCATAATAATCCCAGGGAGCCCAACAATGCTGAGAAAGCAGCCCATTCAACGTATTTGCCTGTGTTCTAGAGTAATTTTTTATTCACTTTACATCTAGGCCTCTGTGTTTGTGGGGGAAACCCGCTGTCACTGGGCAGCAGTAATGGCCCAGCAGAGACTGTGCGAGGGCCCTCCGTGGCTGTCTCTGAGCACAGGTTCTTACAGTTCACACGCATTTGTGTGTACGTGACTCACCGTATCCCAGAAAGGATTAAGGTTGGCGTTACACCTTCTGACTACACTTTCCCCAGCCTTCCACTTCAGTCACTGTGCTCTCAGTCGGGAATTTATTACTTGGTATGTGATTTTCCTTCTTTACAACTTGTAAACTTCCTGCCAGGTGCGCCATCTGTATGATACTGGAGAAACAAAAGATATTCATCTGGAGATGGAGAACCTCGTGAATTCCCGAACTACCCCAAAATTGGCCCGCAATGGTGAGTCCTGGTAATGGCCTTTCCGCCGTCGAGAGCGTTCTGTGTAATTGGCTGAGCTGTTGGTGCGCACAGTACTGGCTCTCATGTACATGGTTCTCACTGGAGGTGGTTTGCCCCCAGGGGATGTTTGGTCGTGTCTGGAGACATTTTTGGGTGTCAAGACTGGGGGGGTTACTACTGCTCTGCCCCCTGTGGTACACAAGTCAGCCCCACAGCGAAGGATCAACTGCCTAAAGCAGCAGTGCTGTCAAGGCTGGGAAACCTGGGCTAAGGTGTCGCGAGAGTATAAAGAGAAATCGGATACGTCGCTGTTGAGAGGGCAGGGGTGCAGACTTGGGAGCACACACGCAAACCAAGGTTTTGAGGGAAGGCTTTACAGAAGAAGCAGTGGCCTCTTAGGTGAGGACCACGACGGCTGCAGGACACAGTGATGGAGGCGGAGCCCATGCGGTGCAGGCCCCTGAAGAATTCTTTAAAAGGAGAGTGACCAGCTGGCCAGCTGCAGGTGAGCTGGGACAGAGAAGGGCACTGGGGCAGAGCAGGTAGTTTAGAAGTGCGCCAGTGGTCAGGCTGGCCAGTCCGGTGTTGATGCTGCGGATGAGAAGGGAGAGCGCGTCCAGTCCAGCTGTGCCCGTCCATGAAGCGTGTGGCTTGACAGCATACATGGCGTCTCTGAACTTGGGTTTCCGTGTGTGCAAAGTGGAGGTAACCATGCCCACCTCATGCTGGCTGCGAGGACTCGGGGGCGTGTCGGGGTGTTTGCTGCAGCACCTGGTGTGCAGCGGGGCGTCAGAAGTGGCTGCCGAGAGCATAAGGAGCCAGAAGCACTGGCAGAGTCTGAACAAGGACTCGGGGCTGAGAAGATTTGAGCTCTGTCATGGGCATTTTGAATTTGACGTGCTGTTGGGATATCAAGGCAGATGTGACCACCAACAGGCAGCTGGAAACATTTTCATCTTCCTCCACTGGGGTGTCATCTCCTTGAAAGCAGAGAGTGTGTCTTTTATTTATTTTTGGCCGCACCGCACGGTTTGCGGGATCTTAGTTCCCCGACCAGGGATTGAACCTGGGCCCTAGGCAGTGCGAGCGTGGAGTCCTAACCACTGGACCGCCAGGGAAGTGCCCAGAGAGTGTGTCTTTGTTCACCGTTATTCTAGAACCTGGAATATTGAAGTCGTCCAGTACATATTGGATCAGTGGATACACAGACTTGGGAGACATCTGAATGAAGTGAATTTCTGAAGCCAGGAGACTTATGATGGTGACACCAGCAGTAGTTCTCTGTGTCATTTCAGGATACATTTTCCCTGAAAGGCTGAAGTGAAACGGGGTTTTTAGATATGCAGTTTTTATTTTGTTATGTTCACAAATTTGTTATGTACAAATGGCTTAGTATAAGGTTAAGTGTTTTCAACTACTTAAGGTAAGGAACAGACTTTCTTTTTCTTTTTCTTTTTCTTTTTTTTTTTTTTTTTTGCTGTACGCGGGCCTCTCACTGTTGTGGCCTCTCCCGTTGCGGAGCACAGGCTCCGGACGCGCAGGCTCAGCGGCCATGGCTCACGGGCCCAGCCGCTCCGCGGCATGTGGGATCTTCCCGGACTGGGGCATGAGCCCGTGTCCCCCGCATCGGCGGGAGGACTCTCAACCACTGCGCCACCGGGGAAGCCCCAGAACAGACTTTCTTGGACACAAATAGGAGTTCACAGATTCTTCTAAATGTTCCATATCAGAGCTCTTCTGATGTGATCATGAAAAACGTTTTTTTATAAAGCCTCTTCGTGGTTTAGAAGCCACATCAGTGACTGAAAAACGTCCCAGTATGTGTGTCTATGTGTTGAGTTTTTCAAGATGTGACCACTTGTCATACTGAGTGCCAAGCCTGGCCTGGTCTGGCGTCCTTGGCCTTGCCTGTGTGGTCCTGCAAAGTTTCTTCACTTGGCAGATTGCTCGGTACCTTGGAAAGTGTGAGAGCAAGTGTTTAACGTGCTGCTAGGTGGAATGGAACGTTTCTTCTCAGGTACTCCCAATGTTACTTTGAAGGGAAGGCGTTTCCTCCGCCACCTGCCAGACAACTCTCCAGGGAAATCTTAGAGCCATCACGTGTGAGGGTGACAGCTCAGCAGGTGGCACCCTTCCCTGTACGTCCCTGTTCTGGAGAGTGGCTGGGACCCTGGGCTTCAGCGTGAGAGGATCCACAGCATCCACTTGTGATCTGTCATTCTCTTGGGGCATGGACGTTGACCTCAGAGTCTGGATAAATTGGTAGTCTCTTGTCTACCATAAATTCCATGGGAATTCCCTGGCAGTCCAGTGGTTAGGACTGTGCAATTTCATTGCTTTGGGCCCGGGTTTGATCCCTGGTTGGGGAACTAAGATCCCACAAGCCTCACCGCACAGCCAAAAAAAGAAAAATTAAATTAAATTCCACTCTTATGATACCAGTTAAATAACTTCTTACATTTGAAAACCACTGACGACTGTTTTGTCCTTGCCTTCAGTATTTTTTCAACCTGGTTATGTGGATTCTCTATCAAAGCTACCAGGTGACCACACTTCCAATAACATTGTTGTTTAGAGTCTGTAGTCAGACATCCGGCCCAGCAAGCTCTTAACCTGGTGCCAGCAGCAGACCAAGGGCTACCAGCATGTCAACGTCACAGACCTGACCACGTCCTGGCAGAGTGGCCTGGCCCTGTGTGCCATCATCCACAGATACCGCCCTGATCTGATGTGAGTCCAGGCTCTGCTTCATCTGTATTCCCACAGGACTTGCGAGTGCCCTGCTTCCAAGTGGCCAAACTCTGTACCTTTTCCGAGAATGAGATATATATAAGATACTCCTTCTGGAAGTCACTCACTAATTTTGATTTATAGTTATATTTAAAGCTGTGTCTGTTAGGCATTATGTAGCTCAACCCAGGAATTATTAGCTGTTTGTAAAGTCTCAGCACTCAAAATGTGGAAAACTGGTTATAACACCCCCCGGGCCTGTTAACATCACAGGAAGGAAAACTCTGTTTCTTGGCCCCAGGCTGAGCTTTGCGTTCAGCCAGCTCTCTCTCCAGTGCTGCTGGTCACGAGGAGAGCCTGGCCGGAGTGTGGGCTGAAGGCACGCGTGTCACTACCAGCAAAGCACTTCCTCCATTCACCGGGGCTTGTCGGCATTGTCTCTTGTCTCTTGCACTTTTTGCAAGCGTGCTCTGTTACGCCCCTAACACTCAGGTGGCCTTACGCACCTGTGTGGTGACATTTCCTCTTTTGGTCATTCTCTACTCACCTAAATGCAGACTAGTATGACAGGATGACCCAGGTCAGCTGTGGTGACCGGTGCACCCAGATTTCCCCGTAGGCATTCGTTACCATGGAAGCCAAACAAGAAGATTCGGAAGCGAGCAGAGCGCGTGGCATTACTTTGGCCGTGTGTCCTTTCATCATTAGGTCCACTTACGGGCCCATTTTTGTGTGTTTGTTTTGTTCTAATGATTACTTAAGGAATCCTGAAAGATCTGGCTCTCTTTTATGTTAATAAAAGAAAGGGGCCTCACCTAGTGCTTAGGAGTGGGGGTGCTGACATGCTTGATAAGCGGAAGTGGCCTCTGTGCCCCGTCCCTTAGCTCACGCCGAGACTGGTGAAAACTGAGTTGGAGTAGGGCTTATTGACCCCTCTCGGGGGCAGGGGCAGCCTGAGAACGACTGCGGTGGATGACACAGAAGTGCTCAGGATAAGGGCCAGGCAAGTCAGTCCTAGTCCAGGAGGAGGGCAGGACACAAGGGGGAGGGCAGGAGTCCCTGAAGGGAGCCTGGTGCCGAGGGGACACCCTCCTGTGGGAATGGACCAAAGGCTGCCGGGGGCCCGGGCGTTTCCTCCTGATGGTGCACAGAGCCGTGAGTAGCTAATTTGGCACCGTTTAAGCTGCCGTGACGTCACTCAGGATGAGCCGCCCCCCCCCCCCCCCCCCCCCCCCCCCCCCCCCCCCCCCCCCCCCCCACCC